AGAGAGAGGGAGAGGGAGAGGGAGAGGGAGGGAGGGAGGGAGAGAGAGACAGGAAGAGAGAGAGACAGGGAAAAAGACAGGGAGAGGGGGAGAGAGAGAGAGAGAATGAAAAAACAGCATTTAACTCACGGGAGATTGTCCACCACAAGAGGGATCAGGAAGAGACTGAAGAGAAGGCCAGCTAGGTTCACTAGTGTCTCCTACATGATGGGAGGAAGACGGGAGAAATTTAGAAGAAAGTTGGTTCAGACTAGAAGTCCTTCGTGATCTCCACTTGGCCAAGTCAAGGGCTGGGTGTTGCTTCTTTGATGCCTCATCTCACCTGGCTTCCATCTTTGGCTGATACATCGGCCATGTTGTCCCGGCGGGCCTGGTGCATGGTGAGAGCCGCACGGGTGGCCCCTCCGGCCACACCCACAATGCACTGACACCAAGAGAACAGAGCAGAAGAGAAATGTGGTTGTAACCGTCAGGTTCTCCACAACCAGCCCATTGGATTCAGTCTCCCCAGTTTAGAGATCTCCATCTGTTGCTTTTACTCCAATTTAATACAGGTAGTCCTCAACTTACAATAGTTCATTCAGTGACGGTTCAAAGTTACAACAGCACTGAAAAAGGTGACTTGTGACGGCTTTTCGCGCTTACAATCACTGCAGCCTCCCCTTGGTCACGTGATCAAAATCCGGATGCTTGGCAACTGGCTCATATTTATGACGGGTGCAGTGTCCGGGGGTCATGTGACTTTCTGACGAGTAAAGTCAACGAGGAAGCCAGATTTCCTTAACAACCATGGTACTAAATTAACAACTGTGGTGATTCACTTAGCAACTATGACAAGAAAGGTCGTAAAATGAGGCAAAACTCACTTAACAGATGTTTCGCTAAGCCAGGGCTTTTCAACCTTTTCACCCATTGTACCACTTTTAGGATATGGCAATATCCGAGTACCAACAGTCGCCTAGCAAGGTGTCAAAAACTTGATGACCCCCAAAAACAAAAAAGTGATAAAGTACAGGTAGTCCTCGACTTACAACACTTCGCTTAGTGACTGTTCGAAGTTACAATGGCACTGAAAAAAGTGCCCCCCACGTCACAGCCGAGCAAGACACACCTGCCTGTCTACCTGGCGGCGCTCTTCCTCCTGTCAGAGGTTTCATTGTTGTGAGCATTTCTGTTGAGGATTGGCAGTGGGGATGGGGTGGGGGGTGTTTGGTTTTTATTCCCCCCGTCTGCTGGGTGGTTGCAGCAGATTTTGGTCACTTCACATGACCCTGGGACACTGTGACCGTCATAAATATGAATCAGTTGCCAAGCATCTGAATGTAAATCACAAGACCCTGGAGATGCTGCAACATTCCAGCTGATCGGCGCTTCTTCAGGGCTCAGCAGAAGCACCAGGATCACCGCCGAGCTTCAGCTGGAGCCTGGCGCTGATCCTGGCGCTTTCACTGAGCCCTGACAGCCCCGAAGAAGCGCCAATCAGCTGGAAAGCGGCACTGATCCTGGCGCTTCCGCTGAGCCCTGACAGCCCTGCAGCTCCAGCCATCTCTCGCTCAGGCTTGTGCGGTGCTGCCACCGGTTCAGCTCATTCCCCTCCCCCGCTACCACTTTTCTAGGTTGGTCGCGTACCACCTGCCAGGTGCCAATGTACCACAGGTGGTACCCGTACCACTGGTTGAAAAGCCCTGCGTTAGGTGACATAAAAGTGGGGCTCAATTGTAGTCGTAAGTCGAGGACTACCTGTATGGCCATCTCCCCTTCTCTGCTCTCTTGCTTTTCACCTTAAAAAAGCCACTGGTGCAGACAATGAGCGTGAAGCATGCTGGGAAAGCTGGCGCCATGATCTCCATGAAAATGGCCACATCGTTGAGCACATCAGCGAAAAGCCTAAACGGTGGTATTGAAAAATGTCGCTCCGTTAAGGTTAGAAATAAATCAGCCCACCCCAAGCGCGCCTTTTGGGTACAATGCCCAGCTGTGATCATGTATGATCGTGTACCTAAAACTGGGCATGAGATCTATTAATTGGAAAGTCAAAACTGAAGGAAAGGCCTTATCTCCCTTTACCTCCATTGCTTAGCATCACAATCCAGTTTGCTCCTGGAAAAGACAGAGAAAACAAACAAAAAAGTAACAGGGTTTAAAAATTGAGTTTAGCTGTGGGCGAATATCACAGGAGTGCTTCAGATTCACATCCCCACTTATCCTGGGTAATAGGGTTTCCTGCCTGAGCAAGGGGTTGGACTAGAAGACCTCCAAGGCCCCAAGTCTATTATTATTATTGCTATTAGTATAATTAGTATTATCATCATCATAAAGTTGGAAGGGACCCTGGAGATCATCTAGTCCAACCTCCTGCTCAGGCAGGAAATCCTATACCAGGGGTATCAAACTCAATTTCATTGAGGGCCGCATCAGCATTGCGGTTGCCCTCGGGGGGGGCGGGGGTGTGTGGCCAGGGTGGGTGCAGCCTACTCGGTGTGTGTGGATGGAGTGGGTGTGGCCTACTGGGTGGGCATGGCCAGCTCTACATCGTTCGCATCAAGGGTGCCTATGGGGGCCTGGGCAGGAGTGGGACAGATCTGAGGGTCTCTGGCAGAAGGGGGTGGGACCGGGGCAAGTGCCAAGGCATGGTCGACCGGGGCAAGTGCCAAGATGGCCACCACAAAATTGTACATTGGCTCCCCTTCAGCCTGGGCCAGGGCCAAGGCAGAGGGGGCCGTTCCCTCACTGTTTCCAGGATGGCTTCGCGGGCCACATGAAACCACTTTGCGGGCCGCATCCGCCCCCCGGGCCTTGTGTTTGACATGTCTGCCCTATACCATTTCAGACAAATGGCTATTCAATCTCTTCTTGAAAGCTTCCAGCGTTGGAGCATTCACAACTTCTGGAGGCAGGTTGTTCCACTGATTAATTGTTCTGACTGTCAGGAAATTTCTCCTTAGTTCTAGGTTGCTTCTCTCTTTGGTTAGTTTCCATCATCATCATCATCATCATCATCATCATCCAGCAAATTTCCTGGAATGATTTAGACCCTTCACTAGGTCTCAGCCCCCCTCCCAGGATGTGGTGAAAGTGTCACTAAGGGAAGATGCATGAATCATAGATGCTAGTTTGAATTCTGGAGGGGGGCAAGTGAGCAATAAATGAAATATAGATGGCCTCATCCAAGGCGAGGAGAGAAGGACTCACCCCTTGCTCCAAGCGAAAGCGATTCGGCCCAACATTCCTGTTCCATCTGTCACAGAAGAGAGATGAATGGTTTGAATGGCAACACAGGGCAGAGTATGAAAACGCAAAAGTAAAACGAGGAGAGATTTCTGAGAAAGTAGCAGACCAGGCCTAGTAGATCTAGAGGAGAAGAAAGTAGGAGGAGCTTAAACGCAGGATGACCTGAAACTGGGACCAAGGTGGCTTCAGGGACGCCAGGCCCAACTAAAACACAGATTCTATGCAAGCAGCTTAATTGTTTATACACCACAGCCAACCATTAGGCTTGCTCAAACTTAAGGAACAATTATTTGAAGGAACTGAGATCTAATCAGCCATCACGCCCAGCATATTTATAAATAGACACTGATACAACTTTTGCATGCAGGAGGCCAACTTTTCAAAGTACTTTATGTGCTTTGCATAAAGTTTCATGGATATTATGGGTCTTATAGTTTTTAAGGTGCTGGGAGCCATCCAGAGTCACATCTACGAGAATATAGCAGTAGAAATCCATTTAATCAATAAAATAATAAAATAATCATCATGTAAATGGCACAATAACCCCAGAATTGCTTCAAAAGTGAGATGGGTGGCAGATAAATTTAATCATTTTTGTGTGTCATTTGTCTGACAGGCAAATTGTGCAATGACCGACTTCTGGATTTAACATTTGTGAAGGATTAACTATTTACTATTTCAAACACCACCAAATTCAAGCTGAATTCACAAGAATTCACTGCCTCGTAATGAAATCTTCTGACTTTTGGTTTAGCGATGATGCACACTAGACATAGTTGTTTGTAAAGCAATGTTCGCGGCACAAGTATGTTCACATAATGTTTTATGTGAACATACTTGTTCGTAAAGCAGGGTGTAGGACTTAGGTTACATTGGCTTGCTCAAAAGTACACAAGAATTAAAACAAACCACGATGGAGAAGCCATTACACTAATTTTGTGTTGAGTTTAGATTCAAGGAAGCTCCAAGGAAGAGTTATTAAACTATAGCCTTGGGAGCCCGTGACTCTGGGTGAGGATTAGGAGGGACAAAGAGGTGAAGCTCTCCGGGCCGGGTGTGTATGTGTGTCTGGTGGCACAAGAAATAGGACTTGTCAATGGAAGCAGCACCAGAATACAAGTGAGGAAGCTTGTAAAGAGAAGACCGAGAGAAATTCAAACATGGCCCACCTTTCAGAATCCACGTGACAGCGGCAGCTGCGACGGTGGAGGTCTCATCCCCGACCCCCACCCCCTTCAGCACTGCCTGGGTGGCCAGTGTCCCTGTGATGCTGCTTGCGAAGGCCTGCAGGTTGATGGGGGATGCAAAGGAAGAGAGAAAGGGCAACAGTTAGAACAGGATAAGGAACCTTCTGGGCCCAGTTCATCACCAGAATAACAGAATAGCAGACCCCCTGCTCAAGCAGGAGACCCTATATCAGAGCTTTTCAACCAGTGGTACCGGTACCACCTGTGGTACATTGGCACCTGGCAGGTGGTATGTGACCATCCTAGAAAAGTGGTAACGGGGGAGGGGAATGAGCTGAACCGGTGGCAACACCGCACAAGCCTGAGCGAGAGATGGCTGGAGCTGCAGGGCTGTCAGGGCTCAGCGGAGGCACCAGGATCAGTGCCGCTTTCCAGCTGATCGGCGCTTCTTCAGGGCTGTCAGGGCTCAGTGGAAGCGCCAGGATCGGCGCCAGGCTCCAGCTGAACCTCGGCGGTGATCCTGGTGCTTCTGCTGAGCCCTGAAGAAGCACCAAACAGCTGAAAAGCAGCACTGATCCTGGCACTTCTACTGAGCCCAGAAGAAGCGCCGATCAGCTGGAATGTTGCAGCATCTCCAGGGTCTTGTGATTTACATTCAGATGCTTGGCAACTGATTCATATTTATGACAGTCACAGTGTCCCAGGGTCATGTGAAGTGACCAAAACCTGCTGCAACCACCCAGCAGATGGGGGGAATAAATACCAAACACCCCCCCCACCCCACCCCCACTGCCAATCCTCAACAGAAATGCTCACAACAATGAAAACCTCGGACAGGAGGAAGAGCGCCGCCGGGTGCGCAGGCTGTGCCTTCGGGAGCACTTTTTTCAGTGCCATTGTAACTTCGAACAGTCACTAAGCGAACTGTTGTAAGTCGAGGACTACCTGTACTTTATCACTTTATTCCTTTTGGGGGGGGGGGTCAAGTTTTTGACACCTTGCTAGGCGACTGGTGGTAGTCGGATATTGCCATATCCTAAAAGTGGTACAATGGGTGAAAAGGTTGAAAAGCCCTGCCCTACATCACTTCAGACCAGTGGTTGTCCCATCTCTTTTTAAAAAATATCTAATGATGGAGCACCCACAACTTCTGAAGGCAAGCTGTTCCACTGATGAATTGTCCTCACAGTCAGGAAATTTCTCCTTAGTTCTAGGTTGCTTCTCTCTTGGATTAGTTTCCATCCATTGCTTCGTGTTCTGCCTTCATCGCCTGGGGCTCCTCTTAGCTCACAGACCCCCCAAACCCCACACATCCAAAGATCCCATCAAAACGAGAAGAGAAGGAAGGGTTGAGCTTCATGGATCCCATGGAAAGAGAGCAGCCCTGCCCCTCAGGAAGGAATCTCTCTCTCTCACCTGGATGGTGTCCCAGAACTGGTAGGCGAGGTAGTCCGTGCTTACACTCTCAGGATAACCTTGGGGCAGGAAGATGGACTGCAGGAAAGAGAAAAGGTGAGCATCTTCTTCCTTCTGAGCCCATGGATCTCCCCAACCTCTGCCCATGGAACCCCTCTCATTTTTGCCAATCTGTTTCCATTCTCTTCCCCAATGAAGCGCTTTACTGATTAATTTCTTCTACCTAGTACTCTCTAGATCAGGGCTTTTCAACCAGTAGTACGGGTACCACTTGTGGTACATTGTCACCTGGCAGGTGGTACACAACCATCCTAGAAAAGTGGTAGCAGGGGAGGGGGAATGAGCTGAACCGGTGGCAGCACCGCACAAGCCTGAGTGAGAGATGGCTGGAGCTGCAGGGCTGTCAGGGATCAGCAGAAGCGCCAGGATCGGCGCTTCTTTGGGGCTGTCAGGGCTCAGTGGAAGCGCCAGGATCAGCGCCAGGCTCCAACTGGAGCTCGGCGCTGATCCTGGTGCTTCTGCTGAGCCCAGAAGAAGCGCCGATCAGCTGGAATGTTGCAGCATCTCCAGGACCTTGTGATTTATATTCAGATGCTTGGCAACTGATTCATATTTATGATGGTCACAGTGTCCCAGAGTCATGTGAAGTGACCAAAACCTGCTGCAACCATCCAGCAGACGGAGGGGGGGAATAAAAACCAAACACCCCCCACCCCACCCCCGCTGCCAATCCTCAATAGAAATCTCACAACAATGAAAACCTCGGACAGGAGGAAGAGCACCACCAGGTGGGCAGGCAGGTGTCTTGTTCGGCTGTGGCTGGGGGGGTCACTTTTTTCAGTGCCGTTGTAACTTCGAACAGTCACTAAGCGAATTGTTATAAGTCGAGGACAACCTGTGCTTCATCACTTTTTTCCTTTTTTTTTTTTTTGTTATCAAGTTTTTGACTCCTTGCTAGGCGACTGGTGGTACTCGGATGTTGCCATATCCTAAAAGTGGTACAATGGGTGAAAAGCCGTGCTCTAGCTCACCTGCCATTGGCCCAGCAAGGGTCCTCACAAATCCTACAGCCAATGCAAGTCCAAGAGGAAAGAGTGTCTCAACTCATCAGCATCCATTTTTAGATGGGGAGGACCCCTGGCCATATTCATCAAGATTGTAAAATAATTATTTGACTCAATAGTTGTGCAACCTGAGAACTTGGGACTTCTGAAAGCAATGACTTGCTTTCACTCACAGACCTCTTAAAAAAGTTGTGAAATTGTAAGATTCTTTGGAGCACAACGAGAACATTATTAGAAGTATGACTGGGGAGAATCAGATCTACTGTATCTGTTTTTAATTAATCATCATTTGCGCATCCCTCACTATCAAGTAGCTCTCTAAACCAGGGATCTTCAAAGTTGGCTCTTTTATGACTTGTGCCTGGCTGAGGAATTCTGGGAGTTGAAGTCCACAAGTCATAAAAGGGCCAAGTCTGAAGACTCCTGCTCTAGACCAAGGTTTCCAAACCTCAGCAACTTTAAAGACGTGTGGACTTCAACTCCCAGAATTCCCCAGCCAGCATGGAAATTGAAGTCCATGTGTCTTAAAGCTGCCAAGGTTGGGAAACTCTGACCTAAACCTTTTTAAAACCAAAACAGTTTACTCACCTTGAAGATATGATGAAATGAATTAAGGCGCCAGTCTTTAGAAGCGTCTGTCACAGAGCTTAGCTTTCCATTAGGCAAGGCCTGGTAACGCCGAGCAAATTGAGAGCCATAACTTTCCGTGCAAAGTGTCTGAATCTCCAAGTCAGTCATGATTGTGCCTGAACTTTTAAAGATATGCAGCATTAATCAAGTGCCACTGGAATGCAGAAAAAAAATGTGATCTTTGCCTAACTAGATCATGCAAGACAATAGTTTTCAAGATCCTCTCCAACAGGGAGGTTAATCACTCAAGCAATCTGGAAAGTCTGCATAAATATACGAGAGCAATTCGGAAATAAACCTCCGTTTGGTTATCAATGACAGATACTCGCAGATACAGAACTTTTATTATACACAGTGCTTTTTTTCTTAAAAAAAAAGGTGCCGGAACTCACACACGTCATACAACCCGCCTTGCCTACCCTACAAGGTTCCATCCAAAAAAGGTGCCGGAACTCCGTTCTGGGCATTCTATGAGAAAAAAAGCCCTGATTATACACATTAGAAAACTGCAACATTACGTTACTTTTCGACATAATCGCCATTCAAGTTGAGGCACTTGTCACAATGTCTTACAAGGTTTGAAATTCCTTCCGCAAAAAAAAAATATCTTCCATCTGGGAATGAAGCCACCCTGTAACAGCATCCTGAAGTGCATTGTCATTGCGATGCAAGCTACTGTTTCATGTGCCTGAAGAGAGGGTAGTTGGTCAGTGCCAAATCTGGGCTATGGGCTAGGGGATGATCAAAAACATCCCAACGGAACTGCTTCAAAGGTTCTTGGGTGCGTCTAGCGGTGTGTGGGCGAGCAGATATCGAGAACCGACGGACTTCACCAACCTTTTTGTCAACTTCCTGCACGAGTTCAGCGCTGACTACAAAGAGGGCAGCCACTTCTTGACTCATCATGCACATTAGTTTGTCCATCTTTAAACATGCGACACCACTGATGTACGACACCTTCACTCATCACGTTTGGTTCATAAACATTACAGTTCCCGATTTTGCACACATGAATCGTATTACTGCACGCACTTCACATTTGGCGGGATTTTCTATGGCAGGGTTCATTTTCCATTGATCTGGCGGACGAGTCAACTGCAACACAACCTTCTCCTTCCACTCCTCACTGCCTACTGAACTATTGCGCACGGCGCCATAGGACGGGCGTCGCTACCTCGCCTATTTCTCGCACATGCTCAAACGGAGGTTTATTTCCTAATTGCCCTCGTACATAAACATATCTACATACCCACATATATAGTGTGCACGTGTCTATATATTTGTTTTTATTTACGTTTTAATATTGTTAGGCATATAGAGTCAGAGATGAGTGGCCATATAAATCAAATAAATAAATACAAGTTAAAAACTTGCTGCTTGTGGTCAATCCACCCAAAAGCCTTTAATTGGATAATTTTCTATCTATTTAATGGTAGAAATGGTATGCTCCTGGCTGCACCCATTTTTTACAACAGGGAAGGAGAAATGGAAAATAAGCACAACAGTGTTTCTAAATCTCAGCAATCTTAAGATGTATGGACTTCAATTCCCAGAACTCTCTAGCCTGGCTCGAGAATTCTGGGAGTTGTAGTCCACATATTTTAAAGTTGCTGAAGTTGAACAGCATATGCTTGTGTTGCTGTATCCTTCACCGTTGGTCATATTGTCAGAGAACTGCTAGAAGTTGTACTTTAGCCACCCCTAAAAGATCACACTTAGTCTGTAGGTAGTGCACAAACAAGGTAGTGCACAAACAATGCAACAATTACACTATTCAACACAATCAGGCGTTTCCAGCATCTGGTTTTTGAACACACACATCCTCCGTCAACAAGCACGCTTTTGTGAAAACTCAGGCTTTAACTACCCAACCGAATGTGGTGGAAAGATATTCCACATACCGACTCTATAAACTGCTTAGAGAGGGCTGCAAAACACCATCAAGCCGTATATAAATCTAAGCGCTACTGCAATCTTTAGAACTCCATTTAAGATAAGAAGATAAGATACGATAAGATGATAAGATAAGATAAGATAAGATAAGATGATAAGATGATGATATATATAAGATAAGATAAGATAAGATAAGATAAGATAAGATAAGATAATAACCTTTATATTCATTTTTATACTGTGGGCACAATGGCACACATCAAAAATGAAATTTAGTTGTCCGCTCTCATAGTGAAACACATACATGACACACACCTAAACATACTATGAACAACATATGTATAGACCCACATCCCTACATATACGTAGCAATAAATATTAAATATTGTCCATCTTGAATATATAACGGAAGGAGGAAGCTTGAGAGTTCGCGAGGTGAATGCTGTATGGAATGAAACTCTGGCTGAATCTGGATGTTCTGCTTTGGATACCACGAAGCCCCCTCCTCCCAGAAGGGAACAAGGAAAACAGGTCGTGAAGAGGATCTGTAGTGTCCCAGATAATCTTACCGACCCTGCTCAAGCAGCGCTTCTGTGCTATGTATATGTTTTAAGTAAAAACATATTAATGGGGTGTCTCTAAAACTTTCATCCAGCCATTCTAAATCTATTTACCTAATCATGAGACCCACTGACTTCGATAAATGTAAAGAAGTGCACAGTAAAATGCATTCAAATACATTGCTTGCAACAGCTTCCTCCACCCCCTAAGCCCGTGAAAGCTTTGCACGTTAAATGTCGGTTTCCCAAAGAATCGTGAAAGACAAGAAGCGAAAGACCTTTGCAGAAAGGATGTTGATGACAGTCCGCGTCTTTCCTGCCTGGATTTGAGTTGGGAACCCAGAATACAGCGAAACAGCCCGGTTCCCTTTCCCTAAGGAGACATTTAGCCACGTCTTTAAGGCAGAAATGTAGCCGCAAAAGCGTCTCCAGCGGGTAGCGACTGTAAACGCTGCTTTCGTCCAGCAGGGGGAACCAAAGAAAACGGCCAAATTGGAAACCCGGCTTCATTTCATTGTCGCGCCTTCTTCTTTTAGAGATCTCTGGGAAATGTAGTCATCTGCCCATTCGTTTAGTTTAGGTTTAGGACTCAGGGGTCTTCAAACTTGGCCCTTTTAGGACTTCCTTCCTCAGAGGAATTCTGGGAGTTGAAGTCCATAAATCCTAAAAGGGCCAAGTTTGAAGACCCCTTGTTTAAGTTTAAGTATAGGTTTGGTTTATTTAGTTGAAAAACTTCAATTACAACTTCACATTTCTCTATAATTTTTTTTTCATAGCTACAGATGTGTTTGACAGATCAAGATTGAGAGTAAAGGAAGAAAACTCTGTTAAAGTGAATGCATTAAACATCCCTAATAGATGCTTACAGCAAAGAAAAATATTGCCACTTCGCATTTAAAATATTTGAGTGCCTTTGAGGATTTCAGAAATTCCCAGATAAAATAAGCCTAATATTTAAAAAATCTAATAAACATCAATTAAGTGAACACAGATCTGAAGTGGAGCAAACTGAAATTGAAGTCCTACAAAAATGAGCTAGAAACTATATGCTCATTAGAAAAAGTTGTTAATCCTGCTATTCAGGCACCTTTTTCTGATTTTTCTTTTTTTTTACCAACTCCAAAATATATCCTCTTCGCTAACATTTAAGCCATTGGGCTGATGTAGTGCTGGTGCTGGAGCTGGAGCAGGAGACCTTGTTCAAATCTCCCTTCATCCATCAAAATTCACTGGGTGACATGAAGAAAATTGTGTTTTTGTTTTTTGTAGCTAAACCTATCTCACGGGGTTATTGTTGCAGGGAAATATAGGGAGTGAGGGCAAATATACGTGTCCCAGGATAATGTTGCAGGATCCAATCTGGGTCCATCACTGAGGTTTAGTCTTCCAAGCTTTCGGACTTGTGCTAGAGCCGTTCCTAACAGAATGTCTAACATAAATAAGTTCCCTGAGGATGGGCTCCAGCACGAATCCGAATCCAGATTGGATTCTGCAAAAATAGGGAGTGCTGTGTATGCAGCTTCTGAACAAATATAGGCTATACATAAAATGAATAAATGTAGTCATCTTATTCCAGAGTGCTAGACCAGGGGTAGGCAACCGTGGCTCTTTTATAACTTGTGGACTTCAACTCCCAGAATTCCTGGGAGTTGAAATTAGGGTTGCCAGGTGTCCACTATTTGAGTGGACAGTCCACTTTTTTCACATTATGTTCACTATTTCTTTTCACAAAATAGTGGACATTTTTTTATTCAAAAGCTTTATGATGAAATGGTACGTAATCTAAAGCTGTACAGTCTACTTTTTTTACTACTTAACCCCCCCCCCCCCGCTTGTCCTCTATTTTTTGGAAGCAGACCTGGCAACCCTAGTTGAAATCCACGAGTCATAAAAGAGCCAAGATTGCCTACCCCTTTGGTAGACTTTGCTCTTCTTCCCTCCTACCTCATGATTTGCATTGCTATTCTAAACAAAACACCTACACACACACACACACACACACACTGTCTCACTCACTAGGCCTCTCTATGGTCTTCAGGAATGGCGCCCCTTAAATACCATCCTCACCATTTTTCCCTTACCCAAACAGCTAGTGTGGTTAAGAGGGAGGCTCGTACCCCAAGAAATTGCAGAAGATACCCATGCCTCTACTTGTTCTTCCAGAACATGACGCCCCTTCTCCCTCCACTCCCTGCTTCTGAGTCAAGGATAGCTCCTGGCCTTCTGGATTTCATACAAATTTGGTCCTAGAAGGATTTGGTGATTATGTGTTTTAGAGTTCCTTGCCCAGGAATATTAATTATAATTTTTGTATTGTACTTAATAATAATAATAGTAGTAAAGTTGGAAGGGACCTTGGAGGTCATCTAATCCAACCCCCTGCTCAGGCAGGAAACCCTATACCATTTCGGACAAATGGCTGTCCAGTCTCTTCTTGAAAACTTCCAGTGTTGGAGCATTCACCACTTCTGGAGGCAGGTTGTTCCACTGGTTAATTGTTCTGTCAGGAAGTTTCTCATTAGTTCTAGGTTGCTTCTCTCCTTGATTAGTTTCCATCCGTTGCTTCTTGTCCTGCCTTCAGGCGCTTTGGAGAATAGCTTGACTCCCTCTTCTTTGTGGCAGCCCCTGAGATATTGGAACATTGCTATCATGTCCCCCCTCGTCCTTCTCTTCATTAAACTAGACATACCCAATTCCAGCAGCCGTTCCTTATATGCTTTAGCCTCCAGTCACCTAATCATCTTTATTGCTCTTCTCTGTACTCTTTCTAGAATCTCAACATCATTTTTACATCGTGGTGACCAAAACTGGATGCAGTATTCCAAGTGTGGCCTTACCAAGGCATTGTAAAGTGGTATTAACACTTCACGTGATCTTGATTCTATCCCTCTGTTAATGCAGCCTAGCACTGTGTTGGCCTTTTTGGCAGCTGCAGCACACGGCTGGCTCATATTTAGGTGATTGTCCACTAGGACTCCGAGGT